GTCCCAGCTACTTGGGAGGCTGAGGCAGGAGACTCGCTTGAGCCCAGGAGTTGGAGGTTGCTGTGAGCTGTGATGCCATGGCACTCTACCCAGGGGGAAAAGCTTGAGGCTCTGTCTCAAATAAATAAATAAATAAATAGGCAAATATGCCTCATCCCTATTGTGTCCTGGAATTACTTTTAATTAAGTTCATTCTTTAAAACAAAGAGTATCAAAATCAAAGATTTTCATGAGAACAAACTTAGCCTTGGTAACCGATCATGAATGGTGCAGTGAATGGCTAAGACTCAGTTGTCTCTGTTTTCTCTGAGCCTGGAATTATCAACTTCAAGATTTATAGATAAACAAACTGTAGTTTTTAATCCTCAAATCTTTCTTTCATCCAGTCACTCAACATTAACTAGCTCTATCTACATGGCAAGGGCACATGCACTTGGCTCCCTGCATCTGTGGCTTCTGTGTCTGTGAGTTCAGCCAACAGCCTACAAAAAACGTTTTTTTAAAAAATGAATGATTTCATCTGTACTGAACATGTAAAGACTGTTTTTCTTGTTATTACCCCTTAAACAATATAGTATAACAACTATTTATCAGTATTCACATTGCATTAGGTATTACCGTGTTTCCCCGAAAATAAGACACTGTCTTATATTTATTTTTTCTCAAGAAGACACACTAGGGCTTATTTTCAGGGGATGTCTTATTTTTGTTAAGTATAACAATCTACATTTATTCAAATGTAGTTAAGTCATCTTCTTCTGGAACCTGACAAGGGAACCGACCTTGTTGGTGGAGCTGGCACTAGTGATGCCTGAACTCCTTTCCCCTAGCACTTGCAAATGGCTTAGAGAAAGGAGCTATGGCAGATAAAAGGTATTCCAGTCTTCCTTACCACTCTGTGCCAAAATGCATGGTGTGGCTATGCAGCATGTAAGAAGCTTCCACGAAGTTAAAATAACCTGTTAAATATTATTAATTAAAAGAATATCTGCATAGCCACACCCATCACTAGGTCTTATTATCGGGGTAGGGCTTATATTTAACAAATGCATAGAAATCCTGCTAGGGCTTATTTTGGGGGTAGGTCTTATTTTCAGGGAAACACAGTATGAATAATCAACAGAAAATTTAAAGTATCTGGAAAATGTGCCTAAGTTACATGCAAACACTACGCCATTTTATAAAAGGGTGTCTGTGGATCTTGTACCACAGGGATCCCTGAACCAGTCCCCTCACAGCACTCTACCCAGGGCAACAGAGTGAGATTCGGTCTCAAAAAAAAAAAAAAGAAGAAGAAGAAAATAATAATTTAGGGCTGGGTGCCCATAGCACAATGGTTAGAGTGCTGGCCCCATGTACCAGTACCCTATGATTGGGGGACTGGTTCAAGGATCCAGGAACCAGGGGGGACTGGTTCAGGGTTGCTCTGGTGGCCCATTGGTGACAGGAGCACAAAGACCAGCTGCAGAACTGATGGGAGGCTGGGTATAGTCACCCAACTAACTGGTGAAGATACTCCAAATGCCGTGGATGACCAGCTAGACAACCTAAAACTGGTCCATGGACTCCAATGTCTGAATGGTTGGTAGGTCCCTTGCCTATTACACACCGTTTTGAGTCATGCCTTATGTAAAGCTGAGTGTTTAAAAATTTAGGTTAGGCTGGGCACAGTGGCTCACACCTATAATCTCAGTACTCTGGAAGGCAAAGGTGGGCGGATTGCCTGAGCTCAGGAGTTCAAGACTCACTCTTCAGGAGCAATAGTGAGATACTGTTTCTACTAAAAAATAGAAAAACTAGCTGGGTTTGGTGGTGGTGGGGTGCCTGTAGTCCCAGCTAGTCTGAAGGCGAAGCAGGGGGATCGCTTGAGACCAAGAGTTTGAGGTTGCTGTGAGCTGACACCACAGCACTCTACCCAGGGAAATAGAGAGAGACTCTGTCAAAGAAAAAAAAAAAAAGAAGAAGAAGAAGAAGAAGTAGAAAATAATAATTTAGGGCTGACTGTCCATAGCACAATGGTTAGAGTGATGGCCCCGTGTCCTGGGGATGGCAGGATCAAACCCAGCCTGGGCCAGCTAAACAAAAAAGAAAAATTTTAGTTTAGCTACAATATAAGAAAACTAATTTAATAAGAAGAAACTGGCATTAAAAAACATGAAACAGTAAAACAGAAAGTGTCAAGGTACATTCCAGGTGCTTTGCGAAAGTCTTCTTTCGTGTGCGTGTATATGTGTGTATGTGGAGGGGGGGATCCCCAGGTAAAATGTGGCTCTTACTATGGATCACAGTTGAATGACTCTGAAGCCGTTAAAGGATGAGGCAGGGGACACATCAGCCTGCACAGTGTGTCCTGGCTCTGACACAGACTCAGAGAAAGTGGAGCAGAGCTTTTGGGTAGGATCTCATATCTCACCTGGTGCTCATCACAAGCTGATGTGGACAGCGTGCTCCCAGGCCTCTGACCCACATCCATCCTTTTGGGTGTTGGAGCACAAAGACCCTCGATAGCAGGTGTCCTGTTCCCGCCCTCATCCCACCAAAGAGGGAAGCTGGCATGGGCAGCATCCCGCTGCTGTTTATCGGAGGCATCTTCGAGGCTGCCATCGCCAGCTCTGGTAGGAACCTCCTCTCCTCTGACCCTCCTGGAGCAGTCTGGGGGGCTGCCGGCTATGTGGCCACAATGCCGTTGCCCAGTGCTGTCATCACCTGAGCACGTCTACTTGCTGCCTGCTGTGTGCCAGGGCTGCTCTCACCACTTCATATACATCTGTCCAATGAAAGTGATTGTCCTTCTTACAAACAACATAAATGCTGAATCTATTGTAGTGTCACCTGTCAAAAATAGACGTCATAAGGCACTCAATTGGTTTCATAGCCACTAAAGGGCATAACTCAGTTTGAAATTATTCTTGAGTGCATATCTTCCAAGAGGTAAAATACATGTGAAGGGGCTGAAGCAGCACATGTTAAAGCTGGCATCATATTAAGTGGCGGCCTCCATGCTCTGCGAGTCACAGGTGGACTGGCGTATTTGTGCTGGTGGTGACCTCCACAACACTGCACACCAGGACAAGCTCTTTGTAGCTTATGAAAGGGCTCCAACATGTTTTCAAATCTCGCATACTCTTCACAATAATGTGGCACTTTCATCATTATCATCCCTGTTTTGAAACTCAGCTAACAGGTTCAGAGAGGCTAAGTGACCTGCTCAAAGTCATTCAAGTGAAAGAGAATGAGGACTTTTGACCCAATATTGTGTTTCTTTCTTTTCTTTTTATAATTTGTTTCTTGTTTTCTGATTGCAAAAATAATATACGTTCATTTTAAAATACTCAAAATTATTAGAAAAAAATTATTTTCTTAGTGATAAGATAATCCATTTTAATACTTCTGGGTATTTCCTATTCTCTGGGAGATTTCTGAATTTTGCTTTCACAAAAACAGGAAGGCCTTTGATAGCCCACATAAGGGTAGGAGAAGCAGCAACCTCTTCAAGGTGGGCTGGGCCCCCCCAACCTGGTGGAGCCTCCTATATCTGCCACCAGAAGTGCCATCCACCAGCCAGCTGGCCTCTTCGTTGTTGTGAGCACAGGTGGAAGATCTATCCACACAGAACAAAGTAGGGGGCAGTGGGAAAGACAGGAGTAGACTTGAAAGTTTCTGGATGCCACAGGTTCAAAATGGACAAAAAATAAAATAGGTTTTCTAACCAGAACTACATAACACCAAGCTGAGAGGTGTGGCATCTAGGACAAAGTTAAGTCAGGACTCAAACCAGAGTTTCAGCTCTTGCTGCCTGCATAGACTATAAATTAAATCCTCTCTCCTTGACTATAATGCCCCTATTTACATTTCTTTGTTTATGCTTAAATTTTTTTGTATGACATGCTTTCTTTTTGATATGAGTCTACAATAAAGTGACCTTTGATTGGGGCTCAGTAATCACTTGGTTTTATATATACAGTATAAATATGTTTCATGTGTGTTTTATTTATATTTGTAATATTCATAAAGAAGTGGAATTGAGTTAAAACCATGAAACCAATCGATTTTTCTTAGTAGTCTCTGAGTGAGATTTACACCTATTCACACTCAATGTGTATTATGCATTTAGTGTATTTTATATTATGCAATATACATTACATATTAAGTAGCTTAATGTGTGTATGTGTGTGGGGGGGGTTAAAGTAGCTTAATATGTAATGTATATTGCACCACTTAAAACTGGAGAGCTAGGTGGTGCCTGTGGCTCAAAAGACTAAGGTGCCAGCCCCATATGCCAGAGGTGGCAGGTTTAAACCAGGCCCCGGCCAAAAATTGCAAAAAAAGCCCTGGAGAGCTGTAACAGCTTTACCACACGGTGTCAGGAGACCATCAGGACTATGGATGGGCTTCTTGTCTGTCACCCCCAGGGTCATGCCTCATTCTCTGTAGGCGTCCCGCACAGCCCTTTAGGACAACGTGTATTCCCCACACCTCACTTTCTTTCCTGCTCCTGCTTCTCCACAGCACTTACCACCTTCACACACACCAAACACTTTGCTCATTTATTTTACTCTTCCTCTAAACAGAGATGCTCCAGTGGGCAGGAAGTTTTTGGTCAATATTCTTGGAACACGGGCCCTCAGAGGGGCAAGTGTGTGTTGAGGGACGCTGCCGTTACTGCTTGGGAAAGGCAAAGGGGACAAAGTAACTTCTGTGGACATGCTGCCCTGTGGTCTTCTTCTTTCTTACCTGTGTAAAGAAATGTGTTGGAGTGTCCTCCCACGACGACATCCACACCCTTCACTTTCTGAGCGATGAGTTTATCCATTTCAAACCCAGAGTGCCCCAGGGCAATGATTTTGTTCACATTTAGAGTTTTTAGCTTATCTACTTCAGGTTGTAAGGCAGTGATTTCATCCTCAAATACTAAATTCGTTCCTAAGGAACAAATAGATAAAATGGACATTTATTAACAACAATTTTTCTTATATTGCTATTACTAACATCCCAATGTCTTAAATTATTAAAAACAAAATATTTTCATATGTTAAATACAAAGTCCCTAAATAAAAATTCAAATCAATCAATATCGTCAATTACATTCAGTTTACCTTCTCCACACCAATGCAGAAAATTCCTGAGCATATAAGCACAGTGGCCAAATAGCACTAGTGATTCCAAGGTGTTGGGTAAAAATGTGGGATGACTTAAAACTGTCAGCATTGGTTCCTAAATGCCAGTTTCGCATGGAAGGTGGTAACTGCGTGTTGTTCACTCTGAATTAATGCCACACTGCAGAGTTACTGAGCTCCATGCTGAGCAAGGAACTCATCTAAATGCCGCTGGCACCAGGTATGAGCAGTCTTCACTGGCTGCTCACTATCCTCCCTCCACGGGATAAAGACACTGCTGGTGTCACTGGTGAGCTTAGGTCGAAGGTCCAATGCACACGCAGCAGGTGCCTGCACTCACAGACACTGCCCTGCCACCTGCTGGCCTCTGCCACAAGGGCATACTTGATTCCTCTGGACTCACTGTGCTGACTTGGAAATGCCAAGAGGGACAGTATCTCAGTAATAGCCTTCAAAATGTAGGAGGCTATAAACTCCAGTTTGAAAAGTACTGATCTCTTCAAAGAGTAGCATCATTATTGAAAATGCAGCTCCGGTCACACTGGGATGTTTAGGCAATTGTCTTCAGTGAGCATTCTCAGTCCTTCCATCAGCCTCCCAGAAGATTTGAACAGCACACTGGTATCACAACTAGGGAGGCCTCAGACTGACCTCTATTGGACCAGCAGAGCTCTCTGGACTTACAGGCACCATTTAAAACTGGAGAGCTGTAACAGCTTTACCACAGGGTGTTAGGAGACCATCAGGACTACGGACTTCCTGCCTGTCGCCCTGAGGGCCGTGCCTCCTTTGCAGGCGTCCAGCACAGCCCTTTAGGACAAGGTGTGTTCCCCACACCTCATTTTCTTTCCTGCTCCTGCTTCTCCACAGCACTTACCACCTTCACACACACCAAACACTTTGCTCATTTATTTTATTCTTCCTCCAAACATGGACATTCCAGTAGGCGGAAAGTTTTTGGTTGATATTCTTGGGACAGAATATTCCTCAGAGGGGCAAGTGCGTGTTGAGGGTTTGGCCAGCAAGAAGGAACAAAATGTTCAGAGAAATGCCTCTGAGGACAAAGGACTGTGTTCTCCTAAAACATCAGAAACCTCACAAGGACGGGGCATCACAAGGAAATACATCGCACAAAGAAGTGTGAGATTTATTATAGGGATTTCATTGTCTAGCTAAAATGGGCCCTAGGACTGGGAGAATTGGACCCAAATAGGGGTCAGAGAGCTGTGGGAGGGCCCATGTGAGCTGCTAGGCTTTGGCCTGGGAAGCAGATTCTCCCGGAACTACCATCCCACCCCAGCCCAATCCTCATGAGGCTCTGCACAGCCTGGCCCTTTCTTCCAGAAGCTGCTGGGAAAAGCATCATCCCTCTGGACTCATCTCTGCTACGGCCTGGGAAAGCGTGAGTCAGGGTCCTAGCTGGGGCAGTCTGATGTCTGGAGCCCCCAAGTCTCTCCACCCTGCCCCACCTGCTCCCTTCTCAATGGTGACTCCTGAAGAAGAGACAATGCTAACTTCCACGTCACACGTCTGAATTCCTCATCCACAAATCAAGCCCTGACCCTCCTTTTTAGCTTTCCCTACTCAGAATCCATGTTCCAGGAAACTGAACTGCCTGTGACTTTGTGACTGGCGTCCCTACAATTTCCTGCTCTCAGGAATTCATCAGCAACATTTACTGAGAACTCAGCTCACTCTAGGCACTGGGCACTGTTCAACAGGTGGCGAATGAGGACCTGCCTCATGAGGCTGTGTCTCAGTAGTGACTGCGACCTCACACACCCAGCATGCCCTGCAGCAAGTCCACTGAGCCCGCAGTAGGGCTCAAGCAGATGGTCCCACTCTCCTTACCACCCACAGTCCCCACCCATCTCTGCCCTGAGCCAGCTGCAGGACACACCTGAGACCTCTCTGGGTCTTGTTTTTGTCCTTGTTTCCAAGGCCCTGGACTTATTGTAACAACTACAAAAAAAGTGTGCCACACTACAAATAAAAGTTTTTTAAAATTGATAATTATGTGTCCTTTATCAGTTTTGAAAACTCATATTTCTGGAAAATACTAGCTCTTAGTTTCTTTTTTTTTCCTTCAAACATGGAGAAACATTTAATTTGCATAGTTTAGAGAAAATGTAATTTTTTTTTTTTGAGACAGAGCCTCAAGCTGTCACCCTGGGTAGAGTGCCATGGTATCACAGCTCACAGCAACCTCCAACTCCTGGGCTCAAGCGAGTTTCCTGCCTCAGCCTACCAAGTAGCTGGGACCACAGATGCCCGCCACAACGGCTGGCTATTTTTTGGTTGCAGCCATTATTGTTGTTTTGGTGGGCCCCGGTTGGATTCGAACCCGCCACCTTAGGTGTATTTGGCTGGTGCCTTAGCCACTTGAGCCACAGGTGCCAAGCCAGAAAATGTAATTTTTGTTCTCACTGTCAAAGTGTTTCAGTAAAAGTCCTCCTATAAAAGTAGCTCTGAATCATTTCTTTCTCTCTTTTTTTTTTTTTTGGAGACAGTCTCACTCTGTCACCTTGGCACCCTAGGTAGAATACATTGACCTTAGCCTAGTTCACAGCAACCTCAAACTCCTGGGCTTAGGTGATCCTCCTGCCTCAGCCTCCTGAGTATTTGGGACGACAGGAACCACCACCCCAACATCCAGCTGATCAAATTATTTCTTGAGTGGTTTTTACATGTGTTTAATTACATAGTGCACACACATATAGGACAGACATACGGAAACAGATATATATTAGGACATATATTTATCATAAGACTATTCAAGAAAATATATATATTTCCCAGAAACCCAGATGAAAGAATATCATTAAGATAAGAGATAAATAATGAAAAGGGAGAAAGGAGAGTCAAATAGATGTGTTATTATCACATCTGGAAAGGCGGTAAGTTAAGGTAGATGCAGGTGAAGCCCCAGCTCTGGCCCCCACTCAGCAGTGGGTACAGGTGGCTCTTCTGACTGTGAGTGCCCTGGACTAAACAAGGACACTGTTCATGCTAACAAAGTAACTCAGGACAGGGCAGAAGTCATCTGATGGCTTCTCAGTGTCATCCTAAGGACACTATTTGCCGAGTTCCCACTTTCATTGACAGTTCATAAAAATCATGCCAACCTGTGACTTAGTGCATCTATTTTCAAACAATGTATGCTGTAAAAATAGAAGATACCTGGATTTGAGAGAAAAGGGGTCTCTTTTGAAGTGTATCCAACAATTCCCACAACTTCATCACCAACAGAAATAATTTTATATGGCTGATAAAGTCCCGATATTTGAGATGCTAGTGGCCCCTTTGCTTTAATGTTTGCACTCAAAATTGGAAACTTGGCCTCCTTGAGGAGTGGATCAATCAGTCCTTCTACACCATTATCAAACTCATGATTTCCTAGTGCCTAGGCAAAAGGAAAAAGAAAAAGAATTAGGAACTTTGGAATTCCCAGGAACAACATAGTTAAAAAACATGACAGCAGCCCAGTGGCTCCCACACAGATCCAGAGGCCTATGTCCTCCTCACCTCCAGGGTCAGGCCCAGGGACATCCACATGGTCAGTGGCTGAGTGCCTCTGCCCCAGGCTTTAGCCACAGGGGGGGTCCCTGCAGAGCAGCTGCAGCCTGTCCTGCACCCCAGACCTGGTGCAGGGTCCACATCTGTAATCACCAGGTGTGCCCAGCCTTCCCATGTTCTGTCTCCTCATATATGGCATTACAGACCCAATCCTGCAAACTGTGTGTGCTAGGGGAGATGATCAGCTCCCCTAGGACTACAGCACCACAGCAGAAGGCTGGCTACTGCGGGAGCCCCGTGCCCCTCATGTCCTCAGCCTTTATAGCTCTGAGGTTCCCACATCTGCTTCTTCCCCCAAAACTCCTGGAGAGGGGACAGACCTGGGGTTAGACTGTTCTTGGGGCACCAGGGAGGAAGATCACTCAGGCTTAGGAGGAGCAGGGTGGTTAGGACCAGCCTCTCGAGACTTTGCTCTCTCCCTGCCTCTCTGCTCTGGGGGGCTGCTAGGGCCATACCTCTGGGCTTTCATTTGCAGCCCCCTGGGAATGGAGGATCCACGAGCGAGCCTTGCTAACAACATGGTCTGGCTGCCTCCCAGGTGAGCCTGTTTCCTCAGGCTGCCACCCACCTGCACTGGCAGCCAAGGCTATTTTGTTAACTTACCAGAGAATCTCAAATTTTTTAAATAGAACATCCAATGCCCCCCACCCCTTTGTGGATCATCTGGGAACAGGCCTGTAGCCGCCAGTGACCGTCCATCCAAGGGGCCCAGTCTTCTCCAGCCCCTCCCTCGGGGTGGGGGTGGGGCCAGGGAAGCAATTGCACTGTTTCCCCTCCACCCTGTGGCCCTGGTGCCCCATGACTGCCTTGTACCCCCCACTTTCCTGGCTCCCTGTTAAATGCAGAATTTCTAAATTTGCCTTTCCTCCATCTCTGATGATCTGCCCATTCTTACCTCCTCCTCTTACCTAATTACCGCTTCCTCCTTAAAAGTTAGTCTTAAAGGTTCTGTCTTGGGTATTTTTTTCCTCTTCTATTCTTAGAGCTAATGGTTTCATCCTATGGTGAAATGTCTCCTTTGTTATAGCATAGTAACTATCTTGCTTTTCTGGGAAGTTTTATTTTTAATGAAAATTTCTACAGTTCTTCGTGAAAGGTTATTTGACTCGTGAAGTGACCTTGTAGTTCACCAGGAACATTCTATTCCCAGCATCTGTACCAGCAGAAATTACTGCTTCTGTGTCTGGCCCCCTCCCCACCCTGACCTGAGAGCAGTGAATGTCTTGCCCCCTTCCTCAGAGGGGCAGGACCCTGGGTCCTGGTGCTGGACACTGTATGGACTGGCTCAGCCCTCTGGCTCTGACTTTTCCTGGCCTGTGGCAGCTGGGACATGGACATATCCCTAGTGTTGCAAGATGCCTCAGGCTTATCGTGCTCCGAGCCTTCCCTGTGACTCACCATCTTGGCCCTGGTGCCACCATCTCCTCAGTCACTAGCCAGAAGCCCTGGAGCAGCTAAGCCCCCCAGCTCTTTGCCCCTCACCCACCATCCTCACCAGCATGGCCTTAGTGTGTGCCTCCAAAGGCACTATTTATATTGCTGCCAGAATGATCTTTCTCAAATGCAAATTTTGTCACTCTCCACCTTAAATTCCTATAGAGACACCAGTGGGTGGGTGGGTGTGGCTCCCAACTACACAGCTGGATGTGGTAGGCACTGTCCTCCTACCACATCCAGATACTCAGGAGGCTGAGGCAGGAGGAGCCCTTCAGTTCAGAATTTTGAGGCTGACACCAGGGCACTCTAGCCTGAGGGACAGAGTGAGAGATGCTGCCTTTTCAATAAAATTCAACACCCTGAACAGGGCCCACAAGCTCTCTGAGAAGACTTTTCCTCCCTCTAGCCTCATCTACTTGCTAATGTGTGGGCATCACAGCAGGGCTGACCTGCCCCTGATGGACAGTGACCTGGGACACAGTTCTGAAACAGTTTCCTCTGGAAAGACAGTGGGTGAGTAAACAAGCATGGTGCTACATGAGACAGTGTTTGTGCAGAGAATCTGGGCTGGGCGGCTGGTACCATTGCCAAGCTGGCTTGAGATGGGAGAAAGGCTGAGATCTGGAGAAGGTCATAGTTGGAGGCGGTGGAGCACGAGGTGGAGTGCTGGGACGAGCACCACTCATGTTTGGTTCCAAAGTTCCTACCTCTGTGCTTGGCTGCAAAGGGCTCTGTACAGGCCTTGCACATAAGGGGCAATAACAATAAGCCCTAACCACATGCAGCTTCCCAGGCTCTCACTTTCCTTTGTCACTTTGTATATGACATCAATGATGATAGATGGATAGAAAGAAAGAACAGGATAGAACAGGATATTGTTTCCTCATGCTATTCAATGCCTTCAACCTTGTCCAACCAGTGCTTTAGCTCCTTACAGAAAACTGACTTCCCAGGAGTCTCTTTGGGCTCCCTGAGGTAGACGTCGTCTTCTCTCAATGGCTGTCTCTGTGCAGCCTTGCAAAGCTCTCACCTGCCCAGCAAGTAAGGAGCCCCTCTGAGCCCCTAGGTTCAAAACGCTGAGTGCATAAATGAAGAGACTGTTAACAAATATCTTTTTTCTCTATATACAACTAACTTTTCCTACAGAAATTGGTGCAGACAAGTTTCTCTGTAAATACTTATTTTCTTTAGAAACTCCTATTTTCACTGGCGTACCTCAACTCTCTCCTTTTTTCTTGTTCTTATCAGAACTTGAGGCTTTGTAAGCTCTACAGGAGGTTGAAACCACTTGCTGAAGACCAGTCCCCACCATTCCCTGCAGACCTCAAGAAATGTGCTAATAAATAATTTGATCTTATTTATTCCTTTATATTATTTTTATTAATGACATGAAAATACCTTAGGAAAAGACTACCCAAGTGAAGAGCACAGGGCAGTAAAAGGTGGACACACAGCAGGACAAAGTCTGGTTCTGCCCTCTCAGCCTCAGGGACACCCAAGCACCCCCCTCATGTGTACATTTTGTGGCTAAACGGCTACTTGCACTTACTGCCACCACATCCCTAAACTGTGCTCTTGTGCTCTTATACTCTCCTTGTGCTTCCCAAATATTTCATTTCTATAATCACATCCACTTCATTCATTCACCAACTCTAGCCTTGTGACAATCTTGTACAGTTTTACTACAAACACGACATTTCACCAAATGTACTTTTCCATATTGTAGCTGGTCCTGGCAAAATGACCTTGAATAAGTATTTCCCGCACCAAAGTCAGAGAAACATACTCAGCACATGGTGCACCCAGCCTCTCACCCCTACCGCTTTCTTTACACAGTAAAAAGCCTAAAACACTTGCTTTTTTAAGAAAAAAAAAAGAACTAATGATCTTACATGAAAAAACTTTCCACACTCACACAGAATAGTCCAGCAAACTGAAATATATATATATATATTTCATTCACAAACCAGTGCCCATAAGATATTAGTAAAAATGTAAAGGTAACTTGTGACTTAAAACAGATGAAAACAAGAAAACTCTGCAATTGTCCAGAGGGGTCAGAATGAGAATTGTTATGCAGCGGGTTGAGATTTTCACTTGTTTCTAAGCAACTTGATTTCTCTCATTTTACTAGGAACAGACAGGTTAACTACTATTTGCCAGGTGTGTTTCATATCCTGCCCTCTTCTGGAAAGTTTTAACAGTTTACTTGCCAAATCATAGAGAGGAATGGAGTCCACGTGAAAGGAGCAAGTGGAGTGAACGTTTTATTAGTTATTCTGCAAACATCTACTGAGCACTGGTACCAGCCAGCACCTGCCTGGCATCACCAGGGACACAGGGGCAGTTGACATGTGAGCAGACAGCCACAGTGGATGAGTGTGGTCAGTGACACCTATTTTCAGGCATCGATTAGAAAGAGATGCCCACGGCTCTGGTGTCAGAGAGGTGTCTCCAGGAAGTCACCCTTAAACTGCACTGGGAGCAGCTTATAGCTCCTGAAGCTGAGGGCACCTAGAATCTGGCAGGAGAAATGACGGAACTCAGGACACTCAGGAAACAAGGGAGGGTCTGTGTCTCATCCTAGGAGAGGGAGGAAGAGGCCTGGAGAGACTTAATACAGGGGCAGCAGGGGCAGGAGGCAGTTGGTGAATTTGGGGGAGCCCAAAGGGGCTGTGAGCCTGATGCCCAAAGACTGCCTGGAGACTCCAGGGTGTCCAGGGTGTGGCTGAGTGGGGCGGAGAGCGGAGGGGAGACCCTGAGGGGCAGCAGAAGTGGAGGCAGCAGGACTTTGAACCTGCTGGGTGGGAGGCCTGGAACTGGACACCATGTGTGTCCTCGAGACGCATCCTTTCCCCCCCTCCCCCCTCCACCGGGTCACTGGGGTAAGTGTTCTCTGGGCTGGTTAATCTGGCAATCTGGCAGGGGACTGATTCTCAGGCCAGTGGATGGGGTGGAGTAAAGAGCTGGAGTGGGTGGGGGAAGAGCAGTGACCACCAACACCACAAATTGTCCCCTGAGATAAGAAAAGGGTTAGGCCCAGGGTTTGCCCACCGCCCTGCCCCTCCCAGGCCAGTACACTTCTGCAGGGCCTGTAGTCCTGCTTTCAAGCTGGGCCAGCCTGAAATTGGGGGGATGTGGTCACCTTAGCATTTGAAAAAAGTCTAAGTTTTCTGGTAGCATTTGGAATATAAATTCTGCCTCAGCTTTAGGCAAAATACCCAAGGACGTGGCACTCGAGCTCATCACAGCTCTACACAGCTGGGGATACATTTCCCCAAGGAGAAGATGTCTCCGTGTGAGAGATGGGCTCACTGCTCCTTGGCCTGGGAGGCTTTATAGTTTTCAGGGCTTTGTAGTTGGCTGCTTTTTGTGGCTTAGTTTCCTGTT